TCCCAGTTAGTTGTTGGCTGAATGATCAGTCTATTTATTTTATATATATCTAGCCATCTACATATCCCTTCATCTACTTCTCTTTCTATCCACCTACTTATGTATCCATCCATTCATCCATCCATCCATCCATCCATCCATCCATCCATCCATCGCTTCTCTTGGATCTTTTGACTAATATTTTTAAAATGTATTTATTGCCTTTTAAGTAGGGTTTGGGGAGGGAGTACAGATACATATGTATGATTAATTGTAGGGTGGCCATATAATTTATCATCCAAAACAGGATACTTTTGAGGGTAAAAAGAATTATAATTATACGAGGACAAGAGGTGAAACCTGGTCTCAGGCACATGATTATCTAATTTAATACCAGCAGTGTCTTTATTTAAAATATGGAAACTTTATAAGATTTTAATATCTGATATGTTTTATATTTCTTTATTCTTTAATTAATAAGGCTATTGACTTTTCTAATAATTTTATTCTTCCTGATGAACTTTACATTAATAATATTAAATTCACATATCTCTATGTTGGGATTTTTTTCTTGGAACTGAGTTACATTTGGAGCAGAAATAACACTGTCCAAGAATATGATACATGGCATTGGTCAGAAAGGACATTTTTAAGAAACATAATATATATCTTCATTTCATTTAAAAAATCTTTCAGAAAATGTGATGATTTCTTCATATGTGCCCATGTAATTTTTAAACTTTTTTCTAAATTATTTTATATTTTGTAGTGCTGATGTAAATGGGATTTTTTCCACCTTTTTGTATTTTTTTAAAGTTTTCACGATAGAGTCTTGCTTTGTCACAAGCTTGGAGTGCAGTAGTGCAGTCACAACTCACTGCACCCTTGACCCCCCTGGCTCATGTGATCCTTCCACCTCAGCCTCCCAAGTAGCTGGGACTACAGGCACACGCCACCATGACTGGCTAATTTTTGTATGTTCTGTAGAGACAGGGTTTCACCATATTGCCCAGGCACTGGTCCTGAACTCCTGGGCTTAAGCAATCTACCTGGCTCAGCCCCCCAAGTGCTGGGATTATAGGTGTGAGCCACTGTGCCAGGGGCTCCACTTTATTTTTGTACCTATTATTGTTACTGTGTAGGAAAGCTCTTACTATTTGTTTAGTTCTTTCATAACCATTTGAAGCCCTAGTTCAGATTTTTTTTCTTTTATTTCCCTGTTATTTGTGCAGGAAATATATTTGTGCTTACAGTGGAAGATGACATTTTTCAAAGATGTCCACAATAGCGTCTGCCATCATAAATGCTCTTCTAAATGTCACCCTGCCACTTTTCCACCAAGAGCCACCTTCCATTGAATCTGGGCTTAGTGACTCACTTGTAGCCAGGAGAATACAGAAGCAGGGTTTCTGTGTGACATCTGAGGCCATTCATCTCCTGCCTAGTTCTCTAGAACACTCTCCTTCTGGATGCTCCCTTTTGGAAGTGCTCCTCAGAATGCAAATGACATGCTGGGAAAGGCCCAAGCCACATGGAGAGGCCACATGTAAGTGTTCTGGTTTATAGTTGCAGCTGGTGTTCTAGTCATCCTTGTTCAGGCACCAGACATGTGAGTCTTCTTGAAGCGTCTAGATGATCCGAACCCTAGTTGTCATCTGTTCTTCCTAGCTGAGGCCCCAGACCTCGAGGGGAAGACATAGGCCATTTCCACTGTGTCCTGTCTAAATTCCTGATGCTCTGAATCTATGAAGTTTGGAGTTGTTTGTTACACAGCAGTAAGTAAATGAAACACTCATAAATCAGTGCAAAGAATAAGGAGTCATAATACCTCTGCCATCGGTTACCCTTAAGACCTTCATCATATCAAGTAAGCTTTCTTGGGCTCAAGTTGCCTTATCTGTAAAGGAGTATAGTGTTATTTGACCTTCCAAAACCAGAGAGAATTGGTGAAAATCAAGTGAGAGAATAATACGAAAGCACTTTGTGGAAATGGATGTGAAATAAATAAGAAGAGCTGCATAAATATAAAGACTATCTTTTGAGTCAATTATATGCATATTTTTCTAAATCAAATAGGCTTAATGATTCCCTAGGTAGAGCTGGCCCCACGCTGCAGGAAAAGTGATTCTGGCCCCTCAGAACATAAGCTGTATTTCCAAAACATGAAAAGAACTCTCTGCTCTTGATAAATGACTGAAATTCCTTCTGAGAAAGGCAAGATTTGTGTAGTTCCATTCAGAATTGAAGAAATCCAGATATCTCAGACATGACCTTAAGTAAAATTAAAACTGCTAGAGAGTATCTCACCCTTGTTGAGGTTTTTCTTTACAATCTAAGGTTAAAATAATCATTAAAAATAACTGAAACTGCTTGTTGAGAGAGCTGCTTACTGTGTTACTCCAAGGCAAACCAAGGCATTGGCCAAAATGGCTTAAGTCTCCAATGTGAAATGCCAGAACCATCAGTGATCAAGCCAAGCTCACTAATTTCCATGCAACCCAAGTAAATCAGAGTTAGATAAGGAAGTGTTTGACCTCTGCAAGGGCACTGAGAGAGATCTCTCTCTCAGTATTTCCACTCTGTTTTCATGTGAGTCTAAGAAAGAAAAGTGTTGATGCAGAAAGTATAAAAATTTGAGCTTCTTGATTTATGCCTAGCTTGTTCACAAACCCAACCCCTGCTCATTCTCTTTTTGACACTGTTAATTATCCTGCATCTAAAACAATTTGAGCATCCCTTTCAGTTGTCTGTCTTGTTTTTTCCTTTAAGAATTTTATAGCTGCAAGTAGGCGAATGAACAGAATATAGTGCTTAAAGACAGTATGATCTACTTACCAGAAAGAACTCAAATCCTATTATGCACAGTTAACAGCATTAACTTCATCTATCTACCTTCTGAAACCCAGAAATGGAGTAAACAGGGATAATGATATTTATTTCCTCATGTTATTGTGAGGATTAAATGGTGTTTCATGTATGGGAGAACAGAGTCATGTTAACATCTTTATCCCAATTTCCCTGGCTCAGATCCTCTTCAAACATTGCTGCTGAACATCTTGACACCCTCCTTCCTCTTTCCCCATTCCCTCTAGGTATTTCTGGAATGTCCTCTGTGTTTCCACACATGCCCACGTGAGGGTCTCAACCCTTATAAAATGTGGAGTAAAAGAGTCCCATTAACTTCTGCCTTCAACCGTTTGGCCCATAGGCTTCAGGCTGGAGATTAGACATAATTTTCTCTATAATCCTATTTTCCTTCCCCCTTCCAATCTACATTTGTGTTCAGATTTATAAATTAACTACCTCTTACTTGTATGCAAATAAAATCATAAAATATACTTGGGAATCACCATATCTTCCAGTTTCTAAGCTTAGCTAGACCCTGAATTCTGATTTGGACTGACTGGGGCACCTGGCACGTAAGAATCTCTCCATTACAAGATCTGATTTTACCTTCAGAGAGGCTCAGTGGCATATCCAAAATCACAGAGTCAGGTCTTGTGACACCATAGAACTTCTTCTGTATGCAACAGTTGAAGTTAGACCCTGGAGCTAGATTGCCGTCTTCAAAGCTGAGATCAGTGCTTTCTCATCAGTGATACTGCACCAAGTCTATTCAGGGACAGAAGACTCAAAGTCTATTTTGTGGCTTAGCCTGGCTGTTGCCCTCCATGATTCTGATCTATAAAGGTAATTCTGCAAAATCTATGATGCCTTCCTACTTAGTAGGAAAAATCCCATCTTTATTTTTCACCCTTGGCAAATATGTGAGTGTACTTTTCATGAGTAAATACTAGTTATTTGTGTTAAATTCCTATTGTGTACTCAAAATTTCCATGTATGGGCAGAGTCACAGCTTAAGTTAAACCTGCCTCATAGGATTTTGTATTCAATATTTTTCTCTCTCTTAAACTTCTAAAGAAATCTTAATTATTTAGAGAACGTTGTAATTATTGGAGAACATTGGCAGAGACAGCTAGGTAGTGCTGTCACACACATACATACAGAAACATTCATACATACAGAAACATAAAAAACAAATTTTTAGTTATTCTACCAAAGGACCAGCCCACTTGGCATCCAGATTCATGTACAAGTGACATGCAGTTAGTGTTCATGGAAGTCAGCTGAGATAGCCCAGCCAGCTTATTCCTATGGACCACCCCCATGTAATTCCGAAAACCGATAGGTTGAAAATCAATAAAGCGTTGATTTCCTGCCAAGAAACTAATAACTGTTTCTTGCATAGTCAAAAGAGATCAGCTAAAATGATCCCTCAGAGCCCCTTTTATGAGGGAGGCTTGCAGGCTTCCCCAAGCCACTGCCAGACATTTTCTACCTCTTGGGAGGAGCTGGCCTATAGACTCAGAAAACTATCTGAAGCTCTTGGCTCTGACCTGTCAATTCTTGAAGAGGTAGGGAAGTCATAGCACATTATTTTGTGTAAGAATAAAGGGGATTCAGTGAATGGAAACATCATATAACTGTTAAATTATAACCAAGATTGTCATTATTAGGTATGTTTGCTAGAAAATGTCTCCGAAAGAATCCCTTTCTGTTCTTCCTCATTGTTCTTATTTTGATTTCACTTCATTTCTGTGTCTTTTTATACCTCTTGGGCAGGAATTTATACCAAATTGAAACTTGTATCAAAAACCATAACCACTAGACTGTCTTGCTAACCCTGAACCAAAGATAGATCAACAAATAAATATTTACTTAAGGCATGGGCTAAATGAAAGAATTTATTTTTCTTTCTTTCCTCTTAAAATTCTAATGAATAGGTTTGAAATGGAATGACCTTTTTTCCCCTTAATCGAGAACACCACAAAGTATTCTCAGAAATGAAGAGAACAGAATTTGTGATTTTTAGAATTCCAGAGTCTACAATCAAAGGGAGAGATCTGGGGTCACTGCCTGGGAGATGTATTTATTACCTGAGATGTTGTGCAGATGATTAAGCTTTTTATAGGTATGTCTCATTTCTTACCCATCTTCCTTGTCTTCTCCCTTAATTTCAGGAAGCTGATTATTGAAATTTGGGCTGACCCCTATACTCTCCTGGTGCTGTCTATATTGGCACCCATGACCCGTGGAGTCTAGAAACTCCTTGGAATGGGTAGGAAACTATTAACCAATCAAATCTTTGTTCTGTGCACTATTATTAACTCTTGAACCTTAGAAGGCAGATTAAATACTACTCCAGCTTTCCAAAAGAGAGAGAGACAGGAAAAAAAAAAAGTCTGATTTTCAAAAGGTATTATAGATAAGCTCTCTCTTAAGCTTAAGCTTGGGTTATTTAAAATAATTACTGTAACACCTGTACTTTCCTTTATTTTCTGTACCAGGCAAAAATAAACCCGAGGACTACTTTGCACACTGAAATGTGCAGGAAACTGAGACCCTGAATTCAGCCTCACATTTGCATCAGCACTTAAATGAATGGCAGCCTGGCAGCCCACATCAGAGCCTTCTCCTCTCAACTAAACATGACAGGAAATTTCTCCCGGCACTTTGGGGGACAGTTGTTCCTTCTCACCCCATTTCTATATACCAAAACTCCCGCTGTTATCACCTATATTGATTTTAGTTCAATTTGTACTAAAGATGGGCATTTTAAAGTTAAAAAAAAAAAAATCCCAGATTAACTTAGTTAATCTTTAGCACAACCTCATGAGGGAGGTTCTGTTACTTCCACTTCACACGAGAAGGAAGTAGAGGCATAATGTTTTACATTCCCTGACTATGTAGACTCTGTGATGGCCTAATTTGTTTTGTTTACTGCTGTTTTCTCAAAATCTAGTATGGTTGGCACATAATAGGTGCTCAATAAATACTCGTAGACTGAACTATGCATGCATGCATGAATGAATAAATGCACAAACAACCCCAAGGTCACATAGCCAACTGGGACCTAGACAGCTATTTAACCCCAATGCTTGTGTCCTTGGTGACCTCGGCACACAGGTGATTCAGGTGGTATGCCTACTCTGTGACCTCACTCTACTCAGAAGAGGAAGGGGCTATCTGCTCATTGTCATAACCTTTGTGAAATCACCAACCAAGGAAGGACCAGATTTCGGTTCTCCTAGGGTTGTCATAGCTACTTGTTTGGGTTTGATATGAACAATCTGGTGAAGCAAGGAAGTCGGTAGTGTAATGGAATCTGATAGAACTCTTAACTGCCTAACATGTACGCTCTCTCTGCTCCAGTACTATCATCTGGAAAATAGAAATAATTATATTTACCTCATGAGGAGATTGTGAGGATTAAATTTTAAAATACAGATAAAACACCTAGCATCAATGTCTTGTACATAGTGGGCATTCAGTAATAGTTTACCTTTTCCTCCACCCATTTAACCTGAAGCTCTGTCCCCATTTTTGAATAGGCAACACAATGCTCTGCTCTCTTCTTTCAAGCATAATGGAGAGGGGAAAAGCCTGAAAAAGAAGATTTGCCCTAGGGCATAGAGGATGAAAATGTACTGAATTTGTACTGACTGCTCCTCTGCAGGTAAAACATTCCCTTGCAGATATTTCTGCATGTGTGTTAAATACTCTGAGATAATTCTGGCATTTGTGGATATGAAATAAACGCCAAATTGACTAAGGTGTTGTGGAGGCTGAAGCAAAGCCTAATTAAATAATATGAAACACTGTAGGTAATATGTAGCTGTTGTGAGGTTAGGGAAGGCAGCCTTTTCAGAATTTTTATTAAGAGAAGGAAGGATTCGAATTAACCATTACTAAAGATTCAGATTTTAAGAAAACTTGCTTTTTAAAAAACATACATATGGAGCTTAAAGTATCTTTTATAGAAAAAAAGGAGTGGCTTCCGAAATGGGATTGAAATGCCTTTGAATGTTTTGCTTGAATGCAACATCAGATCCTTTTTGGGACTGAAGAGGAAGGGAGGCATTGGGAAAGAAGTGAAGTGGGGATCAGTGAGGCAGGCCTTAGGAAGTTCACTGGAAGAGTAGAGGCACCTGTGTCGCTGCCTCTGGGTCTGATCTTCATCCCAGCTGAGCCTTGCAGTGGAAAGTATTTTGAAAATACGCTTTAATTTTAAAAAAGAAGGAATGAAGGGAAGGAGCGAGGGGTTGAGGGAGGAAGGAGGGAAGGAGGGAAAGAAGGAAGGAAAGAAGGAAGGAAGGAAGGAAGGAAGGAAGGAAGGAAGGAAGGAGGGAGGGAGGGAGGGAGGGAGGGGAAGAAGGAAGGAACTGCCTGTTAAAGCACCTGCAGCAGAGTCCTGAGAGCAGGTGCTCGAAGCTGCCACTACTGCTTACAGTGTAGTGTTCTGAACTACCAGCATGATGAAGTCTACATTCAGAAAAAAATGTTACATCCCAAACAGGACACTCAGCCAGAACTGAAGCAAAGTTCCCTAGACTGGGAAATAAGCTCTCCCTTGTTTTCTTGTTTCCCTTCCTACTGTCACCCAAAAGTTTAGCACCATTGTTTCATTTCTGTAAAATGTCTTGGAGATTTGAACAATGGAAAGAAGGCCTTTAGTAAAATGTTTTCCCCTTAAAACAAGGGGTAGTAAGGCCAGATTTAGGAATGGGAGTTTAAAGATAAAGCAAATATGAAGTCCCATTTGTCTTCTCTCTTTCTGCCTCCTGCAGGGCCGTAATAAGTAGTCATATGAAGACGGATGTTGACTGTGTTTGTATCTCATTTCCATGGCTACCTCGCATGTCTTCCTTTTGCCTGTCATCTTCTTTTATTCTTGTCTTTATTTATCTTTTTTTACTATTCCTGCTATTTTAATTTCCATTCCATTGAATTCTGCTCCAGTCTTCTTCCTTTTTTCTGTCTTACTAATATGTTTATACAAGAATTTCTGAGAATGACAGGTTTAGAGATACCCCTTCTTCATTCTGCCAATGTTAAATTCAAGAGATTTTTATTTTAGAGTTTTTTTAAAAGAATATTTCTCTGAAAACTTTTCTTAAAAACTGGAATGCTCTTTGAGATAGTTTGATACAGATTGGGGTGTAGAAAAATGAGGGCCGTGCTTCTGAGGCAGGAGAATAGGGCCTGGAGGCAGGGAACCTAAGGACTTCCTAGAACGAAATCAAACGGAAACACATCAGCTATGACAGGAAATAGCCTCTTCATTTACATAGGGCGTACACTAATAAATGACTTTGCAACCTCACTTTAGCCTCTTCATTTACGTAGGACACACAACAAGTAACCAATGGAAGCCTCTAGAGGGTATTTAAGCCCCAGAAAATTCTGTAACTGGGCTCATGAGCCCCTATGCTCAGGTGTGCCCCCACCCTGTGGAGTGTACTTTCATTTTCAACAAATCTCTGCTTTTGTTGCCTTATTGTTTCCTTGCTTTGTTGGTGTGTTTTGTCCAATTCTTTGTTCAAAATGCCAAGAGCCTGGACACCCTCCACCGGTAACACTTCCCAGCACTGAAGATCTTGGTAGATCCCAGACAAAGTAAAATACGTTTGCCTTTAGTTAGAATAACATACCATAATAACTCGAGAGAAGATTGTAGTATAATTTATAGGTGACCTAACGTGTTTTCTGTGCGGATGATAGCAGACTAAATTATGAACCCTGAACCTTCATAATATGATTATCAAGCTTAATAAGAATTCTAAGTGTAACTTGGAACTTGTTGACCAACCTCTTCTGGTCCCCTCTCTCTCCTACACTCCCCAGCCTCTGGTAGCCACTGTTCTACCTTTCCTTCCATGAAATAAACTTTTTTAGATTCCACATATGAATCTAAAAATGAGTGAGATCATTTGATGTTTGTTTTTCTGTACCTGGCTTATTTCACTTCACATACTGTCCTCCAGGTTCATCCATGTGCCTTCCAATGGGCATTTAGGTTATAGTTAGAAAGGAAGAGTTAGTTCTAGTGTTCTAGTACACAGAAGGGTGACTATAGCGAAGCACGATGTAGTGTATATTTCAAGATAGCTAGAAGAGATTTTTAATATTATCACCACTAAGAAATGATAAATGTTTAGGGTGATGAATATGGTTATTACCCTGATTTGATCATTAAACAACATACATATGCACTGAAACAACACACTTGTACCCCATAAATATGTGAAATTATTATGTGTCAATTGAAAAATACACATTAATTTATACAGAAAAAATTCTAAAGATCTTTCTATTATTCCTGTCTCAGTCCTGGGTGCCTAAAATCAACTTTGAATTATTCATGCATGGTTAATCCAACACCATTCCTATTATCCAGCACTCACTTCCTTCTATAACATATTTAGGAGGTGACAATGATGCAAAATTCATAATATGGTCAATATAATATAATTATAGGTCTAATATTAATTATTTTATTGCCAGAGTAACTATCTTTAGGAATCATACCTCTTTTTTCTCTTCTGATAACTCTATTGTCTTCTTTTTTCTACCCATCCTGACTTGTTCATTTATTCCATAAACATTAAGTGCCTACAAGGCATTCAGCTATGTGCTGGGCTTTAGAAACACAGTAAGTGAACAGATCAACATGGCTAGGTCATCCCAGAGCTTAACATTTACTTGTTTCTTTAAGTGGCTTGGTTTTTACTAGCCTTCAATGACTACAAAGAAAAAAAAAGTTCATTTCTTGACTTGAATATTGATACTTTCAAACATAGCAATGCTAGACTCCCCAGTAAATCCTTTTTGAAGGCTGCAACAGTTTAGTTCGTAAGAGTATACCTTGAAATCAACAATTTATCAAGTTTTATAAAGTACCTATAGAGTGTGAACCATTGAATGTAAGATATTCTACAAATAAAACCCAGATGCAATCTTTGAGGAATGTATAGAGATACACACATTTTCACTTTTTTCTGCTTTTGGGTTATTTTTTTAAAAAAATAGAGGTATAAGCTGGGTGCGGTGGCTCAAGCCTGTAATCCCAGCACTTTGGGAGGCTAAGGCGGGTGGATCACCTGAGGTCAGGAGTTCGAGACCAGCCTGGCCAACATGGTGAAACCCTGTCTCTACTAAAAATATAAAAATTAGCCGAGCATGGTAGTGGGTGCCTATAATCCCAGCTACTCAGCAGGCTGAGGCAGGAGAATCGCTTGAGCCTGGGAGGCAGAGTTTGCAGTGAGCAGAGATCAAGCCACTGTATTCCAGCCTGGGTGACAGAGCAAGACTCTGTCCAAAAAAAAAAAAAAAAAAAAAACTAGAGATATAATTTACATATAATAAAATTGGTAGACGTTAAATTTTCAGTTTAGTGAATTTTGACAAATGCATACAGTTATGGCATCTGCACTTCTGTTAACATAGATAATGCTTCTATCATCCCAGAAAGTTTCCTTTGTTCCTCCAGTCAATTCTTTCCTTCCCCAGTACCAGAGAACCGTCACTTTTCTCATTTCTCTCACTGTGGATTAGGTGTGCTTGTTCTTGGTCTTCATATAAGTGGAATCAGATAGTATGTACTTTCTGGTTTTTTTCTTCTAAATATTATTTTTGAGATTAATCCATATTATTGAGTATATCAATAATTTATTTTTAATTCTGAGTAGGATCCATTGTATAGCTATACCACAATTTGTTTATCCATTCAGTTATTGATGGACATTTGGGCTGTTTCCAGGCTTTAATTACTGTAATAAAGTTTTCTTATACAATTCTTTCTGTGGACAATTTTTTTCCCCCAGTTCTCTTGGGTGAGGACCTTGAATGGGATTTCTGGGTCATAGGATAGGTTTCTATTTAACTTTATAAGAAACTGCCAAAACAGTCTTCAAAATAGTATTTATATTCCATTAGCAACATTTGAGAATTCTAGTTGTTCTACATCCTCGCCAATATTTTGTATGCTAGCCTTTTTATACTAAATTTTATTTTTAATTGACAAGTAATTATTGTATATATTTATGGTATACGACCTGGTATTTTGATATGCAGCATGTTTACCTTGTGGAATAATTAAATCAAGTGGATTAACAAATTCATCACCTCACATACTTAGCATTTTTGTAATAAAAACATTAAAACTCTACTCTTTTAGCAATTTTGAAATACAAAACACATTATTCTAATCAACATTGTAGGCAATAAGTGACTAAAGCTTATTCCTCTGGTCTAATGGAAACTTTGTATCCTTTGATCAACATCTCCTCTTTCCTTGTCCACCAACATCCCCAGCCCCTGGTGACCACCATTCTACTCTCAGCTTCTATGAGTTCAACTTTTTTAGATTCCACATATGAGTGAGATCATGTGGCATTTGTCTTTCTGTGCCTGGCTTATTTACTTAGCACAGTGTCCTCCAGGTTCATCCATGTTGTCCCAAATGACTGAATTTCCTTCTGTTTTGAGGTTGCATAGTATTCCATTGTGCCTATACATCACCTTTTAAAAATCCATTTATCTAATGATGGATACCTAGGTTGCTTCCATATTTTAGGTATTGCAAATAATACTCCAACGAATATGGGAGTACAGATATCTCTTTAACACACTGATTTCAATTGCTTTGGATATATGCCCAAAAGCAGAATGCTGAATCTTATGGTAATTCTATTTTATGTTTTCTGAGGAACCTCCATACTGTTTTCCATAATGGCTGTATTAATTTACGTTCCTACCACCAGTTATGCCAGTCTTTTTTATTCTATTTATTTTGAGTGGGTGTGACAAGGTGTCACATTATAGTTTGTACTTTATATTTATTTAATGATTAATTATTTTGACCACCTGTTCATGTTCTTATTCCCTATTTGCATATCTTCTTTTATGTAGTATCTGGTCAAACTTTTGTCTTTTAAAAATGGATTTACGGACTGGGTACGGTGGCTCATGCCTGTAATACCAACACTTTGGGAGGCCCAAGCGGGAGGATCTCTTAGAGCCAGGAATTTGAGACAAGCTTGAGTAATTGAGCGTCTGTATATACCAAAATAAATAAATAAATAAATAAATAAATAAATAACCGGTCATGTACCCTGTAGTCCCAGCTACTTGGGAGGCTAAGGTGGGAGAATCACTTGAGCCCAGGAGTTTGAGGCTGCAGTGAGCTATGATGGCACCACTGCATTCCTGCATGGGTGACAGAGAGAGCCTGTCTTCTAAAAAAGAAAAAGGAAAGAAAAACA